TCTAATTAATTAAAAAGACCTATTACCCATACCCGAAAATCAATTTTTTAAAGCAATTTTTTTTTTTGGAAAAACTGAAAAAAACTGAAATTATTTTTACTTGAAACTGAAAAAAACGAAAATATTTTTTTTTTCCACTTTTTACAAAAAAACTGCTTTAGAAAAAACTGGAAAAAAAAAGCTGAAAATCAATTTTCTAAAGCAATTTTTTTTTGTAAAAACTCGAAAAAACTAAATATATTTTTACTAAAAACTAAAAAAAGTAATTTTTTAAAAAACTGAAAAGCAATTTTTAAAGCTGAAAAAAACTACTTTAAAAAAGCTGAAAAATATTTTCTAAAATAATATTTTTGTAAAAACTGAAAAAAAAAAAACTAAAAAGTAATTTTCTAAAGAAATATTTTTGTAAAAACTGAAAAAACAAATATTTTCTTTTTTTTTCAGTTTTTAGTTAAAAATATTTCAGTTTTTTTTAGTTTTTAATTGCTTTAGAACATTGCTTTTCCGTTTTTGTTTTCAGTTTTTACAAAAATATTTCTTTAGAAAATTACTTTTTAGTTTTTTTTTTTCAGTTTTTAGTTAAAAATATTTCAGTTTTTTTTAGTTTTTAATTGCTTTAGAAAATTGCTTTTCAGTTTTTGTTTTCAGTTTTTACAAAAATATTATTTTAGAAAATATTTTTCAGTTTTTTTTTAAGCAGTTTTTTTGTAAAACTGGAAAAAAAATATTTTCGTTTTTTCCAGTTTTTAGTAAAAAAATATTTTAGTTTTTTCTAGTTTTTATAAAAAAAAATTATTTTTCGAGTATAGGTAATGAGTCTTTTTAATTAATTATGAGATATTTAGAATTGACCAACAGGACGATGACACGTGTCCCTCCGTTTAAATGAAGGGTATATTTGAACTCAAAGTATGATTGCAGAGGTATAGATAACTCAATAGTATAACGAGGATATTCTTAGACCATTTTCGAAAGTAGGGGGATATATTTGGCCCTTTGCCGTTTATTTTATTTTGCAACAATATTGAAAATTGTGGTGGAATGGTTAGGTTCCTTTTGTATAATCCATTAAGAAGTGAATTAGTAATACTCCATTATTATAATTAATTTTAGCCTAAAATTAGCATAAGTAGTACACTGATTGGTTGGTTGTACTAGAAAAAATAATCACCGCCTAATTGCTGAATTTGAAATGCAATGATCAACCCATCAAATTTTCTGTGTGTAAACTCAAATATTGATTTCTCATTTTTCTTGAATTATAATTCACCCATTTCGAAATTATGTAAAGTTACGGAAATTTCCAACAAATAATTAAGACATGCAAGTTTTTCAAGTACATTTAATGTACTACTCCTATCTTTTTCTGACAGCTTCAGTTCATACTAGACGGAATTACGGGGTCTTCTTCATAAACAAAAAGCAATAGCTATGATTTTCGCATCAAAATAAATTGGATGAATAGGTTGGGGAAGGTTAGATTTTCAAATAAAGCAAATAGTTAGTTGATCTAACATCATTAACATCAATGATTTTACAAATGGCATCTTTGACTTTTCATTTTCCCGATACCCTAATATCTAAAAGCGCCCCCAATCTAAAATATTACCAATATATGAGCTCATATTAAATTGTTCGATTCTTCCATGATTCCATGATTAATTGCTACTTGTCTTAATTGTCTTACTTGTTCACCTTAATTGTCATATATTTGATTTGTCTTGTTGCTTTGTATTAATTGTAGTATCTCTTGATTTGGTACGAGGTTCCTTTATGGCTTGCTTTCATATTCTTTATTCTTAGAGATTCGTGTGAATTGAGTTGCGAAATTTATTGCATCTATTGATTCTTGTTTATGGATCGGATTGCACGCCGCAACAGGTGGAATAAGGGAGGATTGATATTAATATGATAAGATCTGGGTTGCGCGCCACAACAGGTGGAATAAGGGAGGATTGATATGGTGAAATATGAGAGGATTATGATATTGATTATGATTATATGTTGGGATCGGGTTGCGAGCCGCAATAGATTTTACTTGTTATTATTGATATTGATATGGTGAAATAAGGGAGGATCGTGTTTGTACGATGAGATCGGGTTGCGCGCCACAACATATTGTGTATTTTGTATTCCTTGTTGTATTATGTTGGCTTCGTTGCTTTCGTATGAGATTCTGAGGATTGGTATTTCTGGTGTTACTGATTTCGAGGATTGAGTTTATTTTCATAAATTGGTTACCTTACTCTTTTTGCATTTCTTTCCGGTCATTATTATTATACTGCGTACATGTTATTGTAAGTTACTTGGCTTAGCCTCGTCACTACTTGATCGAGGTTAGGCTCGACACTTACAGAGTATATGGGGTCGGTTGTACTCATACTATACTTTACACTTCTTGTGCATATTTTGTAGTCGGTCCCAGCGGCAGTCAGTAGATTACTCGGATTGACAATCAGACGGAGACTTGAGGTACAACTGCTCAGCGTCCGCAACCCTGAAGTCCCCTTCTACTTTATTCTAGCTATTTATTTCTTTCAGATAGTTTTACTTTCATTCAGACCATTATCTGTATTATTCTAGTCGTTCGTGCACTTGTGATACCAGATCTGGGGTTGCATCTAGATATTGCAGTTGTTATGACTTTTCACACTCTATTTCAGTCTAATTGGTATCAGCTAATTTGATTCATTGAAAATGACTAAAAATTATTATAGTGTTGGCTTGCCTAGCAAGTGAAATGTCAGGCGCCATCACGATTACGAGGGTGGGAATTCCGAGTTGTGACAGGGCCTTGACAATAAACATCAACATTGAGAAATTTCCCCTTGTTTTGGACTTGAATGGTGCCTAGAGCTCGGCTAAGCTTGTTGCTAGCTCTATAACATGGGCCACCAATAAGGCAATAATACAAAAAGAGAATTTTACTTAGCTATACTAGTTTTGAAACTTATTTACCATCACTATTGAGATTTTAACTTAATCACAAGTTGATATACAATTTACTAATTCTATACAAATTAATATTAATTGANCTCTCTCTCTCTCTTCACTCTTCTGCCCTATTTTTTTTTCTTTAGATCTTCTATACTTCTCTCTCTTTGCTCATCTCCTTTTTCTTGTCTTCTTCTTCAGAGAATTCAATAATGGATTTGACGTCATCGCATGTCACCAACGAACTAGTCCTTGTCGCTACCTCCCCAGACATTGACAACCATAACAAAAAAGTTTCAAATCTTTGATTTTGAATTCGAATTTTTAAAAATTATTATTTATTTGGATTGGGTGTTGTAGCAAATGATCAAAAAAATCTTTTGAAGATTATATCTCAATTTTGAGGTGTTCGGTGAAGATTATAGTTGATTTTGGATGAATTTTCATATTAAATTTTGAAGAGGAAGAAGATGTATTAAAGTTGTGTTATAGTTGTATGAAATTTATATAAATACTGTATTAAATTGTATTCTATTGTAGTTATATTTTTTTTTTTTTTTTGTATAAATATCAAATGAAAGTTTTAAATAAGTTATATATTATATGAATCATTGTATGAAATTAGTATTTACGTTGTCTCTCTTTTACATAAAGTTATATTTATTTATCAAACTTATATTAAAGATGTATTGTAGTCATATGAAAATTGTATTATGTTGTAGTTGTATTATTTTTTGTATGAATATTATACAATTGTTGTATAAATATATCAAAGTTGTATTAAAGTTATATTATAGTTTACGAAAATTAATTTTAAGTTGTATGATGTTTTGGTTTTATTAGTTTTGTATCAATATTGTATGAATGATGTAAAAAAGTTTCACTACCCAATCTCAGTACGTGAATAAATTTTATGTTTCGGGAGAAAATGACCCAAATATTAGGAATGATTTTTCAGTCATCACTATTTCATTTGAATCGCTGAATTTTTTTTTTTCATGATGGAGTATACTTCACGATTTACAAATCAATGGCAGCAATTGAAATATGTGGCATATTATAAAAACCGATGACAGCAATATATGGCATAAATTGGCAACAAATTAATAGAAGAGGAAAGCGACAGAAGAAGAGGGAGGCAACAGAAGAAGAGGGGGAGGGGAGAGGAAGAAAATGGTGGAATTGAATCCCTTAATTGATGGCAATAATCATGGTTTGGGAGCCTTTTAAGGGGAATGTATATGAATTGTAAATAATATATAGTTATAGTTATAGGTAAATAACAAACTTTAGAGAAATTTGGGAAATAAGTATGAATTATGATATAGGAACAAAAAATCTCATACCAAAATAAGTCTAAACGATTTGCTCCAACTAACACAACATTAGGAAAGAGAAGCAAAAGAGAGCGAAGACCCAATTGTTAATGGGCATTTTTATATATACCCACTTTTGAGGCCACCATTGAAGTTGTACTCGCATTGTACAAAATTTTGCCCGCTCGTACTTAAAGTAGTTTAATCTCTTCAATGCAACTTCAGAAATCTTTAAAGTCTTCTATCTTTCAAATACAACTTCAGAAATTCGAATCTTAAGTAGTTCAATCTATTGAATGCAACTTCAGAAATCTTTAAAGTCTTCTATCTTTCAAATACAACTTCAGAAATTCGAATCTTAAGTAGTTCAATCTATTGAATGCAACTTCAAATTTCAAATCTTAAATTCTGCAACATAAACTTGTTCTTCAAATTTCAATAATACACGATTCAATGTCCAAATCTATCCCAAATGAGCTCAAATTTGAAACATAACTTTCAAATATCATAAAGAACAAACATCAATCATCAAATTGTCAAAACAACAAATTTACCAAACCCATTTTGTAACTAAGAAGAAGAAGAAACTCTAAACACAAAGAAGAAAAAGAAGAAACAACAGTAAAGAAGAAGAGAAAAATGTATGTATCTGATGTTATCCTAAAATTGGGTATCAACTAAAAATTTTTAAAAAGTGGGCACAAATTCAATTAGTGGTGCAAAACTGGACGTCACATAAAAATTTTACAATTGTTATGCGAATTCGATCAGGTAGATTATCAATCATCCTCCCTTTTGTTCATCTAACAAAATGTATTAGAACATATAATGGCCAATAGCAGAGCAATTCCACAAACATTTGCGGATGTCTGCATTCCATATTAATGCTATTGAACTACAAAACCTATAATGGTTTTGCCACCTAAGATAACAAAAGAATATTATCTGTCATTTACAATGCATATATTGGGTTATACTGTAGAGATAAAACTTTGAAGTCCAGGTTTTTTTTTTTTTTTTTTTTTTTTTGAAAAATCAGCTGAAGCTAATGCAGGGTTTCCATAATATGCAGCATAACTCTAGTGATTTACTGACCTCCCTATAAATACTCTAACAGGTATAATACCTACAGCCTGATGCTACAAGATTTCAACACTCTGTACATACAAGTCAAGCGAGAATAGTTCCACCTTCGCCGAAGCGCATTCATTGTGTGGGATGATATCGAAGATTTTGCTCATAAAAGTTTATCAACTGCAAAAGAAAGCAAAAGTTAATTCAATTAAAAAGAATAGAATATATAACAGAAATAATAAATTACATTAACCTCCTCTTCAGTTTTGTTACAGTTAAATGAACTTTTCCTCTAGTTTCTGAAATTAATCCATAGGTTAACATTTTTTTGTCAAATATACATAAAATGTCGATCATCAAATGAATAATCAATCTTAACGACCAAGTAAGAAGCAAATACTTTTTTTTATTTTGGATGAATTAAGATACATTAAGGAACTGTGTTAGCGATGATATGTTAAGAGATCAGGTTGGTGTAATTTTAAGAACAGCAGAGGTCTCTATAAGTATGGGAAACTAGAGGGTCACTATAAATAATCCATATTGAAAATATAATATCACTGCATTTTATGATGATGAAAGATTCAATAGAGAAAAAGAAAAGCAGCTACCACAAGTGGATTATTCATCTTTAGAAACTTGTTATCCACCATAACTTCCTTTCCATCAGACCTGCAGGAAACCATTGAAAAACAAAAAATGCCATCATGTAACCTATAAACTTATAAAAGATTCACCACAATAATATTAAGCGGACAGATTGAACTAGACTATAAAGCGACAAGGACACTAGGCACTGATTCAACTAGGTAAAAGCTGATGAGACAAGAAAGAGAGGGGGGTGTAATATAAACAGATAACACCTATACGCTTTACCCATCCAAGAAAACACATAATATTGCTGCAACACAAATAGACACAATTTTCACAAAAATCACATTAAGTTTCATACTTTAACAACAGAAATTTCAAAGACTACATTGCCCCTGTTAAAATATCAGTCACAGTTCATTGAGGCATTGCTTGTGAAATTCTGCTTTTATTTTATTTCGTCCATTTCCACAAATCTGCCTACGTGGTTCTCCCCATTATTATTATTATTATTTTAATAAGGTAAAAGTTTATCTATAAGGTACCGAGATGGTACAAAATGGTACAAGAATCATCCCAAACGACAACATCAACAAGCTATCCTCCCCCTCCTAACACCTCCAGGAAGTCTAAATATTGATTCAGATTTCCTAACTGACTAACTTTACACCAAAAATACAGATTATGGAGACATATATTCTTAATTCTAATAATATGATTCCCATGTCCTTCAAAGCAAGCATTGTCCCTTTCCAGCCATAAGGTCCATAGAATGCACAACGGAATGTTTTAGCCTTCTAGGTACTCTATGAGATTGCCAAGCTTCTAACGAACCCCTGACAGATTGAAGCATCACCCAAGAAATACGACAGATGTTGAACAATAGATCCCTGCATTGCCTAGATACTCTACAATGAAGGAGGAGCTGATTCACTGATTCTTGCTCTTCTTCACATAGGTAACACCTATTGCATAGACTAAAGCCTCTTTTCTGCAAATTGTCCCGAGTCAAACAGGCTCCCCAGGTTGCTATGCTACCTTAACTAGAACTCTAGTTTTCCAAATCATCTTCCAAGGCCAGTTATTATCTCTATGACTTAACTGCTCTATCAACCTGTTGTAACAACTATGGTTCTCCCTATTACATTCTTGCCCTTCCACAATGGCTGCCACAACACATTCAAGAATGATACTGTCCGTTGCCCAGTACCAAAAGTTTAATCTACCAGTATCTCTACTTAAACCTCTAAATACTCCACACAAAAGTTGCTTAACATGAAAATTATTCCAGTTTGTGGAATGGGAAAAATAATGTGATACACTACCCAGCATAAACTTTTGTTTGCAAAGAATAGGATTCACTAGGTTATATAGTTAGCGTCGCTAAAAACCTTTATTTTATGGTAATGTAGTTCAAAAACTTCAACAAAATAGTATCAAATCCCTTCTTAATATCATTAAGTAAATAACTTCAAAGATTTTTACAGAATAAAGCACTAACAAAAGATTTTTGGAGTTACAATTCTATTAAGGAGAGTCAGATTTAGAAGTCACAAAATTGTAAAAGAAAAGGGGTGTCGTGTGTGTTAACCTTGGTTAAAATAGTATAATTTAAAATATAGATGAAGATATTATTTACGAATTTTCTTCTTATCCAAAATAAAGGTTCTTCCACAAAGAAGCACTAGCAAAAAATTATGAACCACGGTTTAATAAGCAGAGTCTAGTTAGAAAACAATTATTCTAGCTAAATTGTAAACCAAAGGGATATAAATGAATCGCTAGTGTATTGTGTTCAGGATGGCCAAATTCAATTTACTACTCCCTAGGGGTCATGTTTAAAGTAACTCTGGTCCAAACACTAACAACCAAAGCAGCATAGACAGTTTCAACTTGACCACGATAACCAACTTCACTAGAAATTACAGTTTATCCTTACCATGTCAAGGAGCAAGCCCAAGAAAAATATTAGTTGCTTCTACACAAGTTTTTTAAAAAATTTGTTAATAACAAGCTAGTTTAGGGAGATGCTATGCTCTTCATGGATAAAGTCTACACCAGGAGGATAGAGTAGTTTCCACAAAGGATTGGTCTTCAATTTGGATAGTTAAACAGACTGCAAAAGCTTACTAGAGTTGTGTTGTAATGTTGTTAAACGAGGTAAAGAACAAAGTCCAGTGGTAGCGGTGGATATTGCTAGAAATAATAAAGATAGAGATAGGCAGGGCAAGTTCTATTTAGCGACAATTTGGACTGAATAAATTGGTGCCTTTCGCCTGATACAATCCCAAAAGTTAGCTCATGGGACGAGGATTGCCCAAAGAGCATATAAGGAGGGCAGCAGCTCATTACCTTAACCAATATGGGACACTTAACACCGTTGCACGCCCAAAACTGAACATCTGTATAACATAAGGGCCCAAACATTTGATAAACCAAGATAGGCGTAGGACTAGCTCTAATACCATATTAAAAAAATGAACAATGAGTCTAACTCAACCCCAAAAGCTATCTCATGAGGTGAACATTGACCAAGACCCTATAAGGAGACAACATCCTATTCCTTCAACTAGTGTGGGACACTTAACAAAGATGGCTAGAGACGGTAAAGGAAATGTAAGAGACAGTAAGGCAATGTGATAAGGAAATAGCAAAGGAACAAGACGGACAGTATTCCCTTATATCTTGAAACTTGGTTATAAGTTGCAGTAGTATTGACGAGAGTGTAAGGCATTAAGCAAGTGAGTGAATTTTAAAGATATTCATTACTTATAAAAAAAAATTAAAGATATTCATTTGTTGGTATAATTGAAGGAAAGTCCTTTCAACAATTATACTTATTTTTCATTCTCAAAAATAAAACAATTATACTTATTTTCACATTAGTAAAGTAGTAAACATACTAAATCGAGTACAAATATATTAATTGATTCAAACTTTCACTTCTTAATCTCTAAGCAACGCCAAACAAGCTCAAATTTGACCAGGATAAAGGGAGTAACTTAGTAAATGATGAATGTTCCAAAACTCAACAAGCTAAAACCAAAAAGAAAGGTCACCTAGAGAAATCAAACGGATAAATGATAGTCCATCATTTTCTCTCCCTTTCCAAGTCAAAGACCTATCTCAGATCCTGATTAAATATTCCCTCTCAAGAAACTATTCCTTTTTCTTTGTTTAAAGGTTTCAGCACATCCTTCAAAGGGTATATGCAAAGCAGCTCTCTTAAAGAGGTTCAACCACTGGAGTGCAATGGACATATTCTGTTCCAAAGAAGAAAAGACAGAACGTTGCACTACCATTGATGGAAGAAACAATGGACACCAAACAAGACAATGCATGTGATAAAACAGAAAAAAAGCCAGTTAATTCCAATACATGGCATCCAGAAAATAAGTTACATCCAAGAATAGCTGAGGTAATTTGGATAAGTGAGTAAGCAACAAATTTAGTGCACAGCAAGCATCTTTTGTTCATTTGAAAGAAGTTCATTATTTTTACTGTACCTTTTTTCCTTTCTGAAGACATTAATTTCACTATATTTAAGGAAAGCTCATATTCTTTGCAACTGAGTAAAAACAAGTGTAGTCTGGAAGTCACAGACCTCTTAGCTAAAAAGGTCACGAACACATCCTGAAAATCACTCGATACAGATGCCGAATAGCTCATAGGCTTTATAATTTCTGCTATGGCACACGCATCTTTGGAATCATCCCACTTATTTTTGCAACCTAAAGCATTGCCCACAAATCCATGATCGTGAATTCCTTCCTGCGTGAATGCAACAAAAGGGCCACTAGTAGCATTTGCTACAGCATCTTGGGAATCATTCATTACACCTGAGGCAGTTTCCGGTTTAAACCTCCGAACAGAAGTAGGCTTCCTCCTTTTAGCTCCGGTACAGCGACCAGATTGAAGTGATTCTGTTCCATTGGCTGCTGAAAATCCACTTGTAAGGCCATCACCAGATGTATCCGCAGATGTCTCTTTTGTTGCTATCCCTCCCTTTAATTCACTAAGCTTTAAATCCAATTCATTTTTCTCATTAATTTCTTTTATAGAGGAATCGAAATTCAAATCATTGCCGTTCGCCACTCCGTCCACTTGGATATCATTCAAACCACTACCACTACTATCCACATGATTAATAGCATCCAAGCTAGCCAGAGGAGATGAAGGCATAGGTTCCTCCATTATGCTAACCTTCACTGCAGGCACATCATATGTAGCAGCTGCAGGGGAACACTGCTGCTGCTTTCTTTTGATTTGAGTGTGAGTAACCCCATGCTGCCGCTTACGCTTACGTGCCAATCGTTGTTTCCCTGACCGCAAGCTTCAAAAAGAAAAATAAAGCACAACAAAAGAATGAAAAAGAGCCGAAAAATCAATATTCCCATTATTCTATTAAACCAACTCAGCTAACTACTATACTCAAGTAAGTGCAATGGACAAAAAATGCACACCTCTCTTCAAATGCATCAATAACATCATAGCACGTCATTAGATTCTCCACAGGTTCCCATGTGTTTGCACTCTCCGGCCAGCCTCGCCTGCATACAACAGAATCTTATCCTTCAATCTAGCAAATTTCATGGTACAACATTTCAAAAATGGAAAACGGGAAGCAAAGTAAATAACTTTATATATCTATTGCATTATGCATAGTAAACTTACCATTTGATTAGATACTGAACTTTGCCCTTTGTTTTTCCACAGCATTTTCAAGATTCCCAAATCCACACAATCACAGAAATTAAAGTCACAAATAAGGATTAAAAAAAAGTAACAAAAAAAGGGGAAAAGTCGTTTGACTCCAAAATGAAACTAACCTTTCGAACCCTCTTTCTCCATACATCCTCAATCTCATAAAACCCTTCAGCAAGCTTTGGTTTTTCCGCATCAGCTAATTCCTCTTCTTCGATTTTCTCTTCATACTCCTTTCCCACATCTTCATCCTCTTCGCCAGCATTCCCATCTCTTTTTTGCTGCTCAGCTTGTGCGGCACCGTTGGATGGCTGCTCACGACTGACACCATTGTCGCCGGCGACGGCATCGGAGTTCTGTTTCCCTCCTTTCATCTCTCTCTCTCTCTAAGTTTGTTTTCAGCTTTGCAGACTTGCAGTCTTCTGTGTGAAAGGACTGTTGTAAGAAACAAAAAGAGGTATGAAGTCCTTTTCTTTTGACAGATAATTTCAAGCTTTTGTTTTATTTGTTACTCCCTCCGTCCTAATTTTAAGGGTATTGTTTCGGAAAACAAAATAAAAAGAAAATAATTTTTAAAAGTTACATATAATTATACGGCATTCTAATTACATGAGAAGTAATCACATATTATGATAATTATATAGCATAGTAATTACAATATCTTATTTATTTACGAGAATATATTAAATTATAATTTTCACTGTCATGTATGGCTAGACAAGTATAATATATTAAGTTTTATTGTGTGATATATATATATATATATATATATATATATTAAAAATTTATTAAATGATTATAAATAATTATATAATATTATAAAAATAATTGATATCTTCCAAATAAGAAATTTTGTTACTAAATTAATAAATAAAAATTTCAATAACCAATCTAATCTTTTACCAACTCATGTAGATATAAGAAATTTAGTTATGAGCTTAAAAACTATTTTTTATAACAAATATTTATACTAATGATTAGAAAATAAAATTAGTAAGATACAAAGTAGGCAAACTCTAATGTGTGACAAATATTTAAATATTATTTTAAAATGATAATATTAACTCAAATTAATGGAAAACAAAAGTAGCAAAGTACGTAAATGTTTTTAGGAAGCAAGCTCAAATTGAGAAAAAAGTGTTTAATAAGACAAACAAATTAAAGAAATAAAGATGGAAGAAGGAGCATGACTGACGTTTATTCACGTCGGAATGAATATGAAAGAGAAAGAGTTTTATATTTTAATATATTCAATAAAGAAAAAAATAAGTTTGAAAATAATTACACCAGATAATTACCATTAATTCTTGCATTCCCTTGAGAATTGAAGAATATAATTATTTCTCTTAATTACACCTAATTACATGCGACCAAGTAATTATTTGGCCTGATAAAGAGTCCCAAACTATGTAATTACACCAATTACATCCAAATCTTAGTACTAGATGGCTTTCCAAACATGCTCTAAAGTTAGTATTTGTTAAAGGAATTTTTTTCAAATGAGGAGTTAGTATTTGTTAAAGGAATTTTTTTCTAATGAGGAGGGAAATAGGGTGAATCTACTATACCAATCATAATTAATATAAGTCTACTTTTTCTTAAAATTATTTAGGTATTTTCTTTAATATCCATTAATGCAGAATGAACGTTGTATTTGTTTTTGTCACGTTCTATGTAGTATTGTTTATTCATGAATCCGGAAAAGTAATACTAACTAGATTTGAGACAAAAATTGTAACGACCAGATCGGTAGTTTTGCTTTTTAGAACCCCGTTCCCCTAAATAAGGCTTCATGTACGTGTTTTTACTGTATTATGACTTGTGGGGATGGTTAGTTCGAGATTTGAAAGAGTTCGGGTTGAAATCGGAACACTTGGTTCCTTAAGGTTGGCTAAAAAGGTTAAGTTTGACTTTGGTCAATGTTTTGAGCAAACGATCTCAGAATCGGGATTTGACGGTTTCAATAGGTTCGTATGATGATTTTGGACTTGGATGCATGTTCGAATCGGATTTTGGATGACCCGGGAGCGTTTCGGTGCCTAATAATGAAAGTTGTCTCTTTGAAGGTTTTTGAAGTTCTTTAAATTTGGTTTGGAGTAGGTTTTGGAGATATCGAGGTCCAAATAGGATTCCGAGACCGAGAATAGTTCCGTATGGTGATTTAAAACTTGCACGCAAAATTGGGTGTCATTCCGAGTAGTCTAAGTATGATTCGACGCGTTCGGAACGATTTGGAAACTTGAAGTTCATAACTTGATTCAATTTTGTTTTGGGGTGTGATTCTTGGTTTTATTATTATTTTACGCGTTTTGAGAGTCGAGCAGGCCTGTATTATGTTTATAGACTTGTTGGTATAATTGGACGGGGGATCGGGTGTGTTTTGGACTACCCAGAGCCAAATTGAAGAGACCAGATTTTCTAGTTCTGGTTTCCTTCTTCGCGAACGCGGAAGGACCATCGTATTCGCGGAGGAGGATTTGGGCAGTGGGGCAATTTGCCCTTTGCGATCGCGAGAAGGGGACCGCATTCGCGGAGCCTTGAGGTCCCAGGCCTACGCGTTCGCGTAAGCCCCATCGCATTCGAGTAGAAGGGAGGGACCTGGGGAGTGGTCAATGCGAGTGCTCTTCGCGTTCGCGAAAGTGCCCTCGCGTTCGCGAAGGACAGGGCTGGTAAGCCTTTGCGTTCGCGAGGACCTGGTCGAGTTCGCGTAGGCCAAGTTTTCATGGGCCTGGGCCGTTGCCTTCGCGAACGCGAGGCCTGTTCTGCGTTCGCGAAGAAGAGAGCAGCCGAGCAGAGAGTTTTAAAATCGGGACTTAGCCATGTTTGGGCTCATTTATTGCACTCTTGGGCGATTTTTGGAGCTTCAAAAAGGGGGAGTTCGACCTAACTATTGAGGGTAAGTAATTTCTACCTACTGCGAGTTAAATACATAGTTTATGGGAAGATTATAAAATATAAACTAGTGAAAATCATGTGTTTAGGTGAAAACCTAGGTTTTTGATAAAAAGGGGATTTAACCACGAAATTTGTTATGGAATTTAGTAAAAATCATATATTTTAGTTCATGAGGTTATGGGTAATAAATTTCTTTAAATATTTCCGAAATCCGGGCACGTGGGCCCGGGGGTGAATTTTAGAAATTCTTCAATTAGGGCTGGGAAATCACTTTAATAGCTAGGATATGAACTTTTGAACGTGTATTGACTATTTTATATAACAATTGACTAGTTTCGAGTCGTTTGGCACCAAAGTGAGGGTTGAAGCACAATTTTGGACCGGGAAGTAAGCTTTGGGACGATATAAGTCTCTTTTCTAACCTTGTAAGAGGGAATTAACCCCATAGGTGAATTTAATTAATATGTGCTTCTATTTGTGGGGGGTTACGTACGTACAAGGTGACGAGAGTCCGTACATAGCTACTAATTATGCTTATGTACGGGTAGTGTTAGGCCTACACCATGCTTTGTTGACACCGTTAATTGATTATTCTTACTAATTGCCTTGAATAGAGTTGAGATTGAGGAATTCTAGATTTTAAAGGCTCCTAGTTGAATTTCTTGTTTTGGAAAGAATTGAGGAATATCATGATAACTTGAGAAATCTATGTTCAACCGCGTCGCAAGTATATTTCGCGAGCGGGGTAAATTCCACTACTCTCATGGGAGTGGGTCGTTCGCCTCGGCAGGTTAATAGATGCATCTATGGTTCCTGCCGTTCGACCCTCAGTAGTGCACAGAGTATATGTACATGTATTTTGGATCGGGCCGTACATCCTCGACATAATTCGTGCGTAATAATACTGGAAGCCCAATTATATTTGATATTGTTTCATTGTCTTGAGAGGTAAATGGTTAAATGAGGGAAATTGATTTGGTACCTACTATAAGTGAAAGGATTGTTTATTTATTTCTTGCTTCTCAGTTTTATTGTCATTTATATGTCCCATGTTAAATTAGAATCATATATATTTCATTGTTGGCCCATAGTAAGAGTCGAAGTCGACCCCTCGTCACTACTTCTTCGAGGTTAGACTAGATATTTACTGGGTACATGTTGTTTATGTACTCACGCTACACTTCTGCACTAAATGTGTAGGATCTGAGGCAGGTGCATCTGGATATATGTCTGGCGCGTATCCTTGACTACTACCACGAGACTTCGCGGTGAGCTGCCTTCTAAGCCCGTTCTGCAGCAGCCGAAGTCTTTCTTTTGCTTGTATTTTTTATCTATCTCACTTCAGACAGTAGTGTAGTATTCTTTTGTATATTCAACTAGTGCTCATACACTTGTGATACCAGGTCTTGGTGATTTATGCTAGTATACACTCGATGGTTTATGTGTTATTATACTTATCTCACTTGCTTTAAAAATCTTGATCTCTCATTTTTATTAAATTCTTACTTCTTATCTATGCACAAACTAAAAATCAACTATTTCAAGTCTTTAAAAGAAAGGATCACAGAGTTAGTTCACTGTAGGCTTGCCTAGCGGCAACGTTGGGCAATATCACGACCAATAGGAGAAATTGGGTCGTGACAACATGGTATCAGAGTGCTAGGTTCACGTAGGTCTCACAAGTTATGAGGAAGCCTAATAGAGTCTTGCGGATCGGTGCGGAGAGGTCTGTACTTATCTTCGAGAGGCTATAGGGTGTTAGAAAACTACTCTTTCTTCATCTCCTATCGTGCAGTTGATGTTATACTAAGTGTCTTTCTCTTATTCTATCACATATGGTGAGAACGCGCACGTCGGATATTCCAGACCCGAGAGGAGTTGCCCCCTATTGCTAGAGGCCGATGTAGAGGCCGGGGGAGGGCACCAGCCCGAGGTAGGGGATGAGGACGTCCCAGAGTTGCCCCAGCTATACCACTAGCGGATCTAGCAGAGGATCCTACTATTGAGGAGTAGGGCGAGGTGCCTGCAGCAGAGCCAGCCCCGGTAGATTTCATGTCAGCACCGGGCTTTTAGGAGGTTATGGGCTGTATTCTACGGTTCATGGATACTATGACCCAGTCTGGTTTATTTCCAGTAGACCCAGCCACATCTCAAGTGGGAGGGGGAGCACAGACCCCTACTGCTCAGGCACCGGGACATGCAGCTGCCATATATCAGACTCCGGGTGCACTACCCGTGGGTGGAGCCCAGCCAGTTGCAGCAGCTGTACCTGAGCCTAGACCAGTTGCGGCCGGCGAGCCCCAGAAGCTATTGGATAGATGGACCAGGCTTCACCCTCCTATCTTCGGAGGTGAGCGACATGAGGATCGCCAAGACTTCATTGATAGGTGCAGGGACAGACTGCACAACATGAGTATATTAGAGTCCCATGGGGTGGATTTCACTACTTTCCAGCTGGAGGGCAGGGCCCGTAGATAGTGGCAGTCATATCTCCTCGGCAGACCAACAGGTTCTCCTCCCATGACTTGGGATCAGTTTACACGCCTTTTCTTGGATAGGTATATTCCAC